AAACATGCACTAATGCAAAAAGAAACAGCATTGGGCCAGTGTTCTGCAGGGGCTTTATTACAACCCTGAGAGTGGCTGAGTCCAGCCCACACTTCCTACCTATCACCCCGCAAAGAGGAACTGTCCCAGGAGTCTTTGCATGACTGTGACTCTGCAAAGCAAAGTTTGGCCTGTTGGATCAACTGCTCATGAAGTCGAATCAGAAACAAGTATACAGTGAAGCTACAGAAAATCCTGGAGAAAGGAAAGGACTTGGGTCTAGAGGTCAAACGTTTAGCTGATGGGGCGGATGAGGGCGGGTCAGGGCCCAGCCAGAGTGGCCTGGCTGAGCACCAAATGGATCCGTGGCTTTGTGGTCGGCCACATGGCCTGCAGACTTGTCATACGTGCCCCACTCCCCCATCCACGAAACCAGAACGCTGGGACTGAGGCCTAGTGTCCGTGTGTTCTTGAGCCCTTTAAGTAACTCTGGTAACTGCTACAGCCTGAGCAACTGGTTCAAGGGAAAGCTGTTGGAACACATGCAGGCCTCACACAGTGTCGCCCAGCCAGTGGCTTACCGGACGGACCAGCTGCCGCAGCAGGATTCCCCACATAGTGCCTTAGAAGCAATTTGACTTTTTACAGTTCTAGAGGTCACAAGTCAAAAGTTAGACTGAACAGGCTAACATCCAGGTGTCAGTGGAAGTGGTTCTTTGTGCAGCCTTTCGGGGAAAAATCCATTCCCTTGCTGGTACCAGCTCGTAGACCCCAGGCCTTATCCTCTAGCTCCTGACCTCACCCCTCAATGGGTCCTACCTTGAAATCTGTTGCCATCATCACATTACCTTGTCCCCCAACTCTTACTCTACTGCTTTCTCTTGAGGACCTGTAAGCACAGTGGCCCCACTCAGAATAACCTCTCAAGCTCCAGACCCTTAATCAACAGCAAAATCCCTTTTGCCCTGAAAGGTAACATTCATAGGTTCTGGGGATAAGGATGTGAACATCTCTGGAGAAGCCGTTATTCTTCCCACTGTAGGAGGAATGTGAAAATACGCATTTTCATTTGCTTGTGTTCACGTGAATGAACACTATAAAGACACACATAAAACTAATACATGTGAATACCATTGGGGAACATAAGGCATGGCTGTAACGGAAATGGGAGGACACTTTTCCCAAAATTGTCTTTATATTATTTTGAGCAGGAAAAAAAATCTAATTTCCAAATTAGAAATTCTTTGAAAACATGAATGGGACTTGTGGGAGAACTGAGTCCCTCAGAAACAGAGTCCTGTGGTAAGAAAACAGGCAAACCTGAGGTCCTCATGGGGGTGTGTGACTTCTTATCTCCCGCTGTTGCTTCTTTACTGTACTTGGCCTTGTTTGTGGTCTGACAGTTTGCTAGGGACCTTGTACTACCAGATTGACTAAGTTTAATGTGTTTTTATTGACTAGCTTAGTTTACTATGATCACGCAGAACTGTGTGTGTGTGCGTGTGTGTGCGTGTGTGTGTGTGTATATCTCCTATTATACAATGTTACACACCTAAGGAAAGATAGGAAGTGGTAGGAGGGAGAGAAAGAGAGGAAGAAAAGGGAATGTGGCCTTTATAAAGTCTTGCTATTAACTGTTCTGTTTGACATTATAGAGACTAAAACACAGACTTTTGGAATCCTAGAGATTATAAGCATTGGCAGCAAAAGTACTTTATTTTTTGGTACCGGGGATTGAACTCAGGTCCTTGTGCTTACAAGGCAGGCGGTGGCACCACTGAGCTAAATCCCTGGCCTAGCAAAAGCATTTTAATGGTGACACAGTAAGGGAAGAAGAAACAGGCTTTCAATCAGAAATAAATGAAACCAGATAGGTACTACATCACCAATAGGGACTCAGCTCAACCTTTATGATAGTTAATGTATTGGTTATTGTGTTTGTTTCTGGGTTATCATTCAGATCTTCTGAGTGCAGGTTCCCTTCCACTTATTTTTTTTACAAATAAATAATATATTGTATCCACTAAATTGCTGCCATTTTCTTCAATAGGAATAGGAGAACTCTTTGTTCTGAACAGGAGAAGGAACATCAGACACTGATAAGATCATCAGCTCATTGTTGAACATTAAATCCTAACAGCAGACCAGAACAACTAGGATTTTGAGAACATGGGCTGCCTCGTGACAGGGAAGTCACTGTGGATGGCTGAAGGAGCACCTGTACACGTTGAGTAACACAGAGGCATTTCATCCCTTCATTATGTCCAGCAGGAACTGTCTCCTCATCCATCTTACTGTCTGGCCTGCATCCACATTCCTGGGTGGAGGTGTCCCCTGGGATCCCCTGTCCACATTCTGCACCCCAACTGCTTACCACTTTGCAGTCTCTATGTTCACCTCAACAAGGCAGCTGGACACCCTGAAGACCCAGACCCCATGCACCAGCTAGTTCTGCCTACCAGACACAGGGCAGACAAAGCTTCAAGTGTGAGCACGCTTTTTACTTTTATTTGCAAGCCTGTGGATTATCGTTCTAGCTGAGGTAACCTGGTCTTTTCAGGTGACCCAGTTATTCCAGACCTATGCTTGACAGAGGCTTAGGAAGACAAGTAAGGGAAGATTCCTGCCATCAAATAAGAGCCAAGCAGAGATCACCAATGCAGGCATACCCAGGAATGCTGTGAGCACCATGCCAAAGGTACAAAGAACTAAGGAAAAGACATGCAGAGGCCATTAATTCTTTGTGGGAGAGTCACAGAAAGGAAAACAGAAGTGACGTTTAAGTTGGGTTTTATAGGACATAAGGGTTTTGCGGTCTAACCCAAGCCACAGGAAGACTCTGAGGTGTACAAGCACACAGACAACTGGAACGACAAGCCAGCCGTCAAGTGGGGCATCTTTTCTGCTTGTGGGAGTGGCCCCACCTGAAAGGATAAGGCTGGCTGATGACGAGCCTTGCTGGCCGTGAGGAAGGTGGAAGCTTTTCTGTAGTCACAGATAGCAGCGAGGGTCTTCAAGGAAGATCGGGTTTGCATTAGCACGGTAACTCCACAGCAACGGTGGAGCCCCCGGTGAACACAGCAGACATCCGACAACTTGAGAATCTGTAGGGCATCTCTGTCTCGCACTGTGACACCTCCTCTCGGGACAGTCGCCTTGGTCTCGCTCCTCAGCCTGGGAAGTCCCACGTCTTGTTCCTCCGTTACAGAAGCTTCTTCAGCTCACGAACTCTTGGGCCCTACCACACGAATGTACACAGAGGGCTTCCTCCTGTGACGCGTAACTGCCAAAACATTTTCTAAATCAAAGACATCACCTGGCTAGGAGAAATTCTTTTATTCTTTAACCAGTTGTTCGAAGTCATGTTAGATTTTAAAAGTCTCCTCACACCGTGAGTCCTATCGGCAACATTCATATTTGATGGAAATTTGCCGTGACACATAATTATGCCTGAAACACACCAGGCAGTATTTTCACAACCATTTCAGCAATTCAACATCCAAAGTAAAATAACTACAGGACACTTTATTAAATTTGTTTTTTTTTAAAGTTTATTTGTTACAAAATGTTAAATACTAAAGCTAAAAACATATAAATTCAGGTCAGGCTCTATTAAAATCACACACATGCCCTTCTTTGCAAAATCATTAAAGATTGAATTAAACAGATTCTTTAAATAAAATAAAGTACTCTTTGAGGACATCTGAGTCCAATTAGCTACAGCAGTGTAGTATACTTTGTAAAATTATAGCTGGAAAGTTGAGCTACTGTGGAAATAAAATCTATCCCATTCTTCTGTCTTTTGCTACTATGTATGCAGTGTGAAGCCACCTTGCTGGTGTGGTCGGGGTGAACTTCAGTTACAACAAACACCACAAATTCTCTGTTACAAATCTAGGCTGTTGTAGCAGGAACACAGAGTAGCCAGAAGGATACAAAGGGTTATACAGCATGAAAACCTGGCCTGGAAGGAAAAGGCCTTATTCACATAAACAGTATCTTCTCTAATTAAAACGACTGGGAAAGATATTAAAGCAGAGATCAGCAAACAGCACACATCCATCTAGAAATAACAGTACAACGGAAAAACTCTCCTGGAAACTGGCACTCACTTCTTCCAGGTAGTTTATAAGTCTTTCAATTTTTTCTATTTTGAACTGAGTCAATCAAAGAGTCAGTCTACATCAGTGAGTTCCAAGACTGATTCAGCTGTATTTTAATTAACTCTGGAGAACTGTAGCATCCGGCTGACTCACCCACACAGGTGGTAAAGAGCTTTCAAAACCCAGCCAACACAGCAACACCTAGGAGTACCCGCTTCCAACTACTCCCACTCAGGCCAAACAACCGAAAAGAACTAGCTACTATCTATTTAAATATTATATAGTATTTTCAAGAAAATATTGTTTGTAACTTGTATTTTTCCACTTTATAATTTTAAATGCTATAATTAATATGGGGGTGAGAATGAGCTTATGAAGAACGAAAAGCTATCACTGCGCTTTAAACGTTCATAAATGTGAAGGAATTTCTAGAAATCTGCTATATTATCTATTCTTTACAATGCTAATCCTAGCTAAATGGGATCTGCTGATAGTTGATTACTCAGGTGATTAAAATGAAAAAAAAAACACAAAATGGATCCCAATAATCTTCACCGACACAGTCCTATTGAAAGCAGATTTTCTGAAATATATTTAGAAGGAAGGTACTCTTTCTTCTGATTTTAATGGTGCACAAATAAGGGCTAACTGCATGGAATTCTAATATTACAGTATAAGATTGTTTAATCAAATATTAGAAAAGTTGAAAAAAATGTGCATTCTAAAGTCACTGGAATTTAAAAGAAAAACATATTCCAATATTAAATTACAGATTACAATGGTGTGAACAATAAATACTAAGCAGACTTTTCTACCTATCTTCAAGTTTGTGAGCTTGATATAATCGTATCTGTACACATGTGAGAGAAACGAATTCTGTCCTTATCCCAGTACCCATAACAAGTCTCTGATTTATATCCTTTTTTTTTTTTTAACTTACTAGGTATCCTTAAAGGACAAGACTCAAGCCATTCTTCATCAAATAGCCTTGCAGTCCTGGAAAGAATTCAAACAACCTAAGCCATTAACACTGACTGCCAATCTTAGCAAATACACTTTAAAAAGTAATATTGAGCCTTCATAGCAAATTCCTCAGACAGCATCTTTTTCTGTGTGCATCTTTATAAAAGCGTGTATTAAAATCAAGCCAGTCAGTCAGTTACTCTTCCCAATATCCTGGCCTTATAGAATGATCAAGGAAGTATTTGTTCATTAGCAACTGAGCCAGGACTGGGTTTTAAAACTAAGCCAACACAAGGCGATTCTCACATGCCAAGGGGGTGGCAGCAGAGGCCCTGCATGGTACAGACACCCCAAGAGCAGGAGCCCCAGTGTGCTTTCTCCCTCCAAGACAACCTGCCCCGGATGCCTAGATACCAGGGCCTCTCTTCTACTTTTACAGAGAATGATGTTTGAACAGAAAAACATGGTATTTTTCCTGCTAGGAAATACACATAATTTTCAGGGCCCAATGCACAGGGAAAACACCGGGCCCTTCTTCAAACATTATGAAGAATTTCAGGACAGCCACAGCCAAGCACTGAAGCAAGCATGAAGCCCTTCAAGTGTAGAGCCAGCACTGGGTAGGTTTCCTGCCCTGTCAGAAGCCAGGGGGAAGACAAGGACATATAACTGGGGTTTCTGGATGAAAGAGAGTTTTGTTCATGATGTTGATTCAAACACTGACACTACTTTGGAACCAAGTATCATGACCTTTTCAAAAATCTCAAATTTTTATTTCAAAAATTTCATGTTGGACTGGTTAGTCTCTTTCTCACTGAAGAAACAGTTACATGGGGTCCTTCAATGACCCTTATTTTAATACTACTCAGATATGATGAATTTCTATGTTAATTCTAATTGAATTTTTTAAAAATTTAAGCATTTCTTAACAGGGAGGTGGTCACCAAAGCAAGAGAGCATCTTTAAGGGAAAACACAGCTGTACAACAGTTTTATATTCTAGAGTGAACCCTTAGTTTTAGTCTGTGTTATATTTTGTTCCCTTTTAAGAATACAATTGTAGGTTTTTCAAAGAGAACTAATAAACACATTAGGCTGAATTTTTTAAAACACCCATACTGGCATCAGTCATAAGAATTTCACTGGAATCCAGTGATATCCCATTCTTCATAATAATGAAAACAGAATGTATACAAAAGCTTCAGGTTACATTACTAAGCAACGACATTTTCGGGAGTGAATATACTTCCTGTATTCTGCAAGCTGCTTCAAGTACAAATTTGATGGCCATCTGTGTTTCTCAACAAAACTGCGTTCTTCCACTAAAATTTGAAGAAAAAGAATGTTAACTGATCATATTTTACTTTGGATCAATTTAAGACAGTAACTGCTGGTTTTCTATGTGACAGGTGAAATTGGAGTGCTGTTATATCCTCCTACCCTTCCCAGAAGCTTCCCAGAACCATCTAGTACAATTCTGGTTAAATCGGTCATCAGCACTTATGCTATTACGTGATTTACAATTACACACATCTTGAACAATGCTTCATCATGTAGCAGTTTATTATTTTCCTTTCTTTTCAATAAAACTCTACTTTTTCTGGGAGATACAGACTCATGTTTTCCCGTTTAGTTATCTTTGTGGCTAACTCCTCCTCAAGACTCTGCAAAGCCCCCTTGGTTAAATTTCCCACTCAGTACAGGGATCTGCCCAGCCCTGCAGTGACTGCGGCTAGGCAGAGACCACCTCTCCTCAGAACCCACAGAGCCAGAGGGTTGGACTGAGTCTTTGCGCTGGGCCTTCCTTTCCTGGACTCCAGGTTTTTCACTTTATTCCTTAGTTTCAGGGAAGCATAACCTTTATTAGCTTCTCGAAAAGGGGTCTGGAAAGCATTTCTGAGATCCTATTTGTAATGCAGTATTTTTAGTTTATCCTCATTCATGATTTATAATTAGGTTTGGTATGAAACTCCAGGTTGAAAACTCCCCTCAAAATGTTGCAGACAGTACTCCAGTGCCTTCTAGTTTCCAAGGCTAAGAACTCTGTCACCATTCACATTCACAGTCCTGGGGGCGCAGGGTGTTTAAATCCTGGAAACTTAGGTATTTCTGTTTATACTTAGTGTTCACACATGCACCAATGTACCTTGTACATTCATTTAGTAAATCCTTTCAATGTGTTGACTTGGGTTCTGCAGTATTGGGATAACTTCCTTATATTATTTCTTTGATAGATTCCCTCACTGTTTTTCTATATGAACTTCTATTACATAGTTCGCCTTTTAGACTGAGCCTCCAATTAAAAAATAAAATGAACTCACTCTTCTGCATCTTTGCTCCTCTAAGTTCATCTTCTTTGTTTGTATTTACTGTTTAATTTTTGGTACCTATTTTTTGTGTGTGTGTCAGCAACTGCTTTAAGTACCGTATCTGCGGACTCACACTGGTCTTCTTATAGTTAGCAGCAGGACCCTGGAAGCTGTCTGGAAACCTTGGGGTGTGGACAGAGTGGAGGCTACACACATCCAAAGGACTACACATGTGCACCATCCAGAGGCCAGAGGAGGATGCGGCTACTTCATCCCAGGGTAGGGGAGCCAGGCTGGCAAATACCAAGCTGCCAGGATTCCAGCACCTGGATAAGGGAAGGGGGCTGGAGCCTTGCCGCACAATGTGCACCTTTACACACACTGAGAACCGCACCTCCGTCCAGCTCCTCACCCCGGATCTCAGCTACCCCCGAAGGTCATGATTCTGTAAACTTTATATGCTTGAATTGCTCCAGAAACAAACTCTCACCTCCTGCAAAGACGGGGAACCACTGCCTGTGTGTGTGGAGGGGACAGTAAAAGCTGGTTCATCGATATTCAACCAATCCCACTGCTTTTTTTCTCCCTGCCTCATCCTGGCTTCGGAAACCTAGGGCCATCTTGGGTTTTTGGGGTCCTGCTGGGGGAAGCAGTTTGTTCCTCCCTTCTGTGTGCACTGAGGTTCCCTCCTGTTAAGTCAGTTTTCACTTTTCCACCTGATGTTCAACCCCTCCATTCACCTTGGAAGAGCAAGGCCCTACACCAAGCTGTGGGGCCTGGGTGAAAAGAACCAAGCTACTCGGGGGAATGTGTCCTCTAAGGCCATAGGACACAAAGGTGACATGAGATGATCCCTCAGGTAAGTTATCGCACATAGCTCGGCAGCCAGCATAAATAAAAACAAAGCAAACCTCCGACCATATAATACATAGTACACTACTGAGCTAAATTAAACTGTGAGAAAAATACATCCACAGACACCTAGGGTAACATATTCCTGTGTGTTGCAGGTTTTGTCAGAATCCAGTATCTATACATCTACATAATGAGCTATTGAACTGGGCTCTGAGGCATCCACCCCTGCATTGATGTGAGAACTTTTCCAGTCTCTCTGATTTCTAAACACCTCTTTTTTAAAAAAAAATTCCTAATCAAAACAATTTGTAGAATTGCAGTGGTAGTTTGATAACTTCTGACACTGAGAATGGGCAGTTCTACAAGGAATCTGTAAAGAAATTGGGACAAGAACCCTTTGGAACTTTAAGTGACCATGTGAGGTAGGTCAGGTGGGAGGCAGTGGATGTCAGGTTTTTTGGGGGGTACTGAGGATCGAACTCGGGTCCTTGCACTTCCAAGGGAGGTGGCAGAATCACTGAGCTAAATCCCTAGCCCTGAGGCAATGGAAAATCTAGAATTCTAAAACACAAATAGTGGTCAAACTATACAGTAAATATTTAATGTTTTTAAAAAATGATTACAGTAAAAGACACATTGCCATTAATCCCCCTCAAAGTACTTCCTCTTTTTGTTTTTTTTTGGTACTGGGAATCCAACTCGGGTCCTTGTGCTTGTGAAGCAGATGGTGGAACCACTGAGCTAAATCCCAGCCCCAAAGTACTTCCTCCTTGCTTCCAACACACTCTGCCCATCATTCTTGCCACTTCCTGAAACGGTTCTGGAAGTTCTCTTTTATGAGTGTCCTCACAGGTCTGATCTAATATATTAATGTTGTTCATCTTATTATTTTGTTATAAAATTTTGTTTTATTAAAAAAATACAGTGAACAGTGCTGCCAAGTACCATCCAAGGGAAATGCAGGCTCACAAAAACACGACGCTGTGTCATCCTCTGCCTTATTTACCAGATCAGGCACCAGGTGACTTCTGGCTCTTCCCCAAAGTCAAAATGACCATGAGAGGGAAACGTTTCGAATTCATTCAGGACACTGAGGCAGCCACGACAGCACACTAAGGATACTAATGAGAGAGGATTTCCAGAACTGCTTTAGAAAGTGGCAAGACCAGCAGGTAAGTATGTTCAAAGTGAGGGGAAGTATTTCGAGGGAAAGTAATGGCAATGCGCCTTTTATTGTAGTAATTTAAAAAAAAAATTTAAGCATTTACCCTGCTTTTCAATCATACCTCATACTACTTTAAAATAAAAATTTAAAAATATGGTCCCACAGATTGCCAGTTTGTAACCACTGATTTGGAGATTTCAATTCTCCCCTATCCAGGAGCTTTTGCCCTACTGAAGCCCACAGCACCACAGGCCGCCAGACACGAAGGCACCGTGGGAAGGGAGCTCTGAGGATGCCGCTAATTCCCAGACAGGAACAGAAGGAATCGCTGCCGCAGCCTCCACCCCTCGCTCCGCCTCTCACATAGCTCCCAGCAGCCCTGCTCTTTCCTATGTCACCTGGGAATCCCATACGCCACAGGCAACTGCGTAATGACACAATCAAAATTAACCAAGACAACACACACAGCAACTTTCACCCAGGGCATAACAGTTCTCCACGCATGTCACACAGCTACACAACATGTAAGTAGAAAGTAATATTATTCTTTACAAACGAAGGTGACCTAAGGTAGTGTTGTGAAAATGACTGTAAAATGAAAATACCGATGTCAATTTTTATAGCTTTCTCAAGGAATAGCTATGTAAGAAATGTCCCTAATGACAGAGAACAGAAGCAGACCTTAGCTTTCTGAACAGACTGTTTTTTCTTGAGACAAGAGACAGTTGTTCACAGTAATTCTTAACAGCTGAGCTCTAGTTAAGACGCTTCCCGTAGCACACAATGTTTGCTGAGGGGCTGAATACACCTGTTAAAAACTGACTGTGTTTCCTTGCTTCCACAATTGTACGAGTGGCTGAATGAAGAGATTTTCACATCTTTTACCAGCAGAACCATTTTTACTTAGCAAAATTTTATGTAGAACTTGCAGACCTTCACATACCTCCGTGGAGATCGATTTGTTCAGGGTATGAAAGTGCTGACTAGGTAGTCGTTCATTTCCTTGTCCTTTTAGCTCAAATTTCCTCGAGCCCATTGCACGTAATTGTGTGATGAGCCTCGCTGTCTATTATGACGGCTCTCTTACTTGCACTTCCTTCCACTTATGCAGAACTGCGACTCTCACGCTTTGGTTGGTTTTAATCTTTATAATTTACCTTACAAATCCCAATACATACACTTTTGAACACCAAGTTTCACAATTAAGAAAAAAATTATTATTTCAAAGTAATATATGAGACCTCTATAATAGGTATAATTAATAAACACAGATACCTCATAAATAAAACTGTATGTTCCAAATAATACATGATCAAAACTTAAGTATCCTTTAAATGTTGCTTCTGATTTAAGGAACACCCAGATCTCAGTTATCAAAACCAAATACCACCTGAGGACATTTTTTTTTGCCACCTTTTATCTATTTTTTACAAATGCATTTAAAATTGAATGGAAGCTACAAAAGAATCATTAGAATACGTCTTGTGTAACACAGTTCAAGCTGCTTATCTAACACAAGTGACTGTAAACTTAAATGTCCTCAATCACACACTGCATAATTTCAAAGATCTTGTATTACTCTGCGCATTACTGTGTTAAAGCTGTTTACAAGTTATAATCTCAAACCTAAGAACAAAGACCACAAAGTTTTGGGGTTTTTCCTCCTACCTGAAAGATCCTGAAATTCAGGCTTTTGACTGAAGATGAGGTAGTTGGTAGCAATGAAATGAAGGAGCCAGGTTGAAAGGCAGTCAGAGTGGTGAAACTGCAAGGAAAACGGAAAGGGGAGCAATGCTGTAAGCCGCGAGCACACGTTGCGCAGCTGGGGGCAGGGGTGGAGCCCGAGTCCATGTTTATGTGACGCACCCTGCACCCTGCAAACTCTTACAGCTACGGGAAGGAAACGCGAGCGTTACCAACGCATACTGATAAATGTATTAACGAAGAAGTGGAACCAATGGTAAATAAGGAGGCGCTGCTGCTGCACAGCCAGTGTGCTGGGGGTTCTGGGGGTTGTGTTTGAACTTTTTCATCTAAGACTTCACTAACTACAACAGCAGGAACCGAAGATGATGGCGAGCAAGTCCTGATAAACAAGTGCGCCTGAGGAGAAGATCGGGAACTATTTTGAGGAGGACATACCACTGGGCTAGGGGTGGGGATGGCCGTGTCAACCTTTCTACAAGGAAGCTGTATCTGCACAGCTGCTTTTAATGGACACACTGTTACCCCGAGCTGGACCTCCCTCCTGACTCTTGTTGTTCTGAGTTCTTGCAGCTGCTAGGAGAGCAAATGGCCCCTGGCAGCGCCACCTTGGTGCCTCTCAGTGTTGCCGAGTCATCCAGCCCCCAGTCTGGGTACAGATTTGCAGGTAGGTGACTCGGTGCATGAGTACAGTTCTTTCATGTTGCCATTCTTACCATGGTGCAATAGGCATAACAGAAGACATTTACATATCGGTGGGTGTACAGGTTATTGGCGTAGTAAATTTATAAGTGTGCAACCAGAACCACTGTCCAGCTCCAGAAGTATTCCATCACCCCAAAGTAAAACTCTGTACCCTTTACACAGTAACTCCCTGAATCCCCCAACCCAGGCCCTGATAACCACCATTCTACTTTCTGTCACTATGATTCTGACTACTCTAAACACTTCCCTAAGTGGAACCACACTTCTTCCTCTGGCTTATTTCACTGAGCATGTCTTCCAAGGGTCACCGTGTGGTAGCATACATCATGTGCCTTCATTTTCAACTCTAACGCCAGTGGTCTGCATACACCCCCCCCTTTTTTTTTTTTTCCATACCAGGGATCGAACTCGGGTCCTTCAGCTTGCGAGGCAGGCAGCGGAACCACTGAGCTAAATCCCCGGCCCACAGCACTTTTTTTGTTCATGCATTCAACCTTAGACAGACACCGTTTTGGCTAAGTACAACTCTTCAGAAAGCTCAAAAATGTTACATAAGCAGCGAGCAACACTAAAAGCGGAACCACTGAGCTAAATCCCCGGCCCACACCACTTTTTTTTGTTCATGCATTCAACCTTAGACAGACACTGTTTTGGCTAAGTACAACTCTTCAGAAAGCTCAAAAATGTTACATAAGCAGCGAGCAACACTAAACTGGAGAGAGCTACCATCTCAAATCTTAAGAAAGAAGCTCAAGGATGCAATCTTGTGTAACATACACTTTCGTGGATCTCTCACGTTCCATACAGGAAAGCAGAATTTTTGAGTTGGAAGGGACGTTGTGGTTCATCTAATCTCACATCCCATTTCCAGTCTTTCCTCCCGTATCTTTGAGAGAAATGCTCCTCCTAGGAGCAAAGAAAGAAACTGCGGAGCCTACATACTGGTCAGGACACTAACTGAGGACTGTGACTTCACAAGAGAAAGGAGATCACAGGTACAAACAAGGAGCTACAGAAACCTTCTTCAAATGCAGAATTTTATTTCTGAGAAGATTTAAGATATCATCGTGAGCCCTTGGCAAGAGATGGATCACATCTCCTTGTAAAAGAATACATCAAAAATAAGGTTAGAAAACACTAGAAAAAATGAAAAAGAATTTTAAAACTAAATTTGGAAGACAGCTACTTATGTATCTCAAGCTCAGTGTAAATATATTACAAAGAGAGATGAGGGTTCCTCGATTTTTAAATGTGTTTTTAACCTTAATATTGAATATATATGATTTTGAGATGATTATGAGAGAAACAAAGACCCAAACAGTTAGGGGATAGTAAAGAAGGCACAGATACCTGAAATGACTTCCCTTCTATGACCAGAAATACCCATGCTGACAGGGGCCGAGCTTTTGGGGCCACAGAGTTCTGAGCTTCACCCCAGCACGTGCTCTAGCATCGAAGTTGCTGGGCTTTCTGAACTCCTGGCCGTCAAAGCTGACAGGGACAGACGATACGTTGTATACCAGATAGTATTTTAAGAAGTTCTGGATCAAAGATACTGCCATGAAAAAGATCTAGAGGGGTCAAGTTCAATAACAGCACTCATGTGCGGAGACGATACGTTATACCAGATAGTATTTTAAGAAGTTCTGGATCAAAGATACTGCCATGAAAAAGATCTAGAGGGGTCAAGTTCAATAACAGCACTCATGTGCGGCGTAACTTCAAGTCCACAGTGTGTCAAGCAGTGAATGAAAAAGCGAAGAGCCACGGGCTCTGATTCGCCTGGCTAAGTCTTCTGCGCCCAGGAGAAGAGTGACAAGTAAGTGGCAAGGAGAAGGCTTTCTTTTGGGGGGCGGTGGTTCTGAGGATTGCACCCAGGGTCTTTGCACTGAGCTACATCTCCAATGCCCCCCTCGTAACTTCAAGTCCACAGTGTGTCAAGCAGTGAATGAAAAAGCGAAGAGCCACGGGCTCTGATTCGCCTGGCTAAGTCTTCTGCGCCCAGGAGAAGAGTGACAAGTAAGTGGCAAGGAGAAGGCTTTCTTTTGGGGGGCGGTGGTTCTGAGGATTGCACCCAGGGTCTTTGCACTGAGCTACATCTCCAATGCCCCCCTCCCATTTTTAAATTAATTTATTTTGAGATAGGGTCTCCCTAAATTGCCCAGGTGAGACTCTCGCAGTCTTCTTGCTTCAGCCTCCCAAAGTGTCTTACCGCTTCTGACCAGGGCTACATCTAAAGGTTTGAGATTTCAACACAGCAATCTGAGTTTATTCATGGACCTGACACAGTTCTTTGTCAGATCTGTTATATTGTAGCATCTCTGCAAATACAGTCACTCACATTAATTTGTGTAAACTCCATCTGCTCCTTAAAATGAGCAATGCAGCTTTTTTATTAGTGTGTGTTTGCAGTACATGCAGTTTACAATCATCCGGGGGAATGGTACAGGTACATACTACGGCTTGTTTCTTCCTTTCCCTGCCTCCTCTTCTAAATCCTCTTTCCCCATCTTTGTTCTTACTGATCTTACCTCGTGTTCACGGCATATAATGCTTACATTCATGTAGGTTAGTAGGTGCCTGTACATGGTGGGGTTTTGTGTGTGTGTGTGTGTGTGTGTGTGTGTTTGGTACTGGGGATCAAACTTGGGTCCTTGGGCTTGTGAGGCAGGCAGCAGAACCACTGAGCTAAAACCCCGGCCCCTATGGTGTATCTTCTTAATACTTATTTCCCTTCCTCTCTCCTCTCACCCACATTTCCTTGGGCCCCTTCCCATCTGCAAGAGCTCTATCCCCTTGTCTCCTCCTATCCATCCTTTATTCCCGCTGTACTGTCTCACTCAAATGAGAGACACTGCACAGTTTTTAAGCTCACGTGTCTGATTTATTTCACACAACGTTGTATTTTCCAGGGGCATCCATTTTCCTACACGTCTCAATTTTGCCCTTCTTTACATCCAAAGTGGTATTCCATTATGTACAGAAACCACATTTTCTTTATCTAATCATCTTCTGATGGCTATACAGGCTACTTCCAGCTGTTATGAACTGTGCTGCTATAAACACTGGAATGAAACTACTGAGATAGGATAAGGTCTTTAGCTCTGTGGGGAAGATACCTAGGTGAACAGCTGGGTCACACGGAATTTCTAATTTTAGTTCTTTGAAGAATTTGACTTTGATATTGGTTGCACTAATTTACATTCCCACCAACAAGGCAGGAGGGTTCCTTTTTCACCACAGCCATGCTGGCATTTGTTATTTTTTGATTTCTTGATGATGGCCATTCTTTCTAGTGTAAGATGGGCTCTCAGCATTGTTTTAGTTTGCATTTCTCTAATGGCAAAGGATGCTGTTATTTTTTCATATGGTGTTGGCCATTTGCATTTCTTAAAAAACAAAGAGGTCCCCAACTTAGAAGAGGCCCAGGAGAACTAGTATGACATATCCCTCAATAAAACTTTTAAAAACTCTATTCCTAATTCAGTGAAACATAACGATGAAAGGCATTTTGCAAGAATAAATGAAGTACAATAGTATCTCCTGTAAACACCTGGAATGTTAAAAACATGTTCACAAAATGCATGCGTGAAGCAATACATCAGTTTATCCTAACCATGTCCATCAGCACATATGAAACACCTGCCATCCTCCTTTCAGGAAGCCTGAGATGTGATCCTTTGGGGAATTCAGAATAAATTCTATTTCTTAGAACGTTTATGTGACACAGTGCACCACACACTCGAATGACTCTACTAAGGGCCACTGCAGGGAAAACCTGCCATCTCTACCACCTTAGAGGGGCACAGAGCCAAAAACCCTAAGGTTTTAACATAGCCCCAGAAACTTGTGAATTTAATCAAACTTCCAAACTAAGAACAGCATTAATATATATCTCTCTTTCTTTTTTTTTTTTTTATGTCGGGAATGGAACTTGGGTCCTTGCCCTTGCAAGGTAGGTGCCGGAACCACTGAGCTAAATCCTGGCCCTAATATATAACTTTTTATTTTATTTTTTCCAGTATTGGGGATTGAACATAGGCTTTTTGCACTGAGCTACATCTCCAGCCAACGCTTTATTTTTTTATTACTTTTTTAAAAAATTCTGAGTAGGGTTTCACTGAGTTGCCAAGTTGCCCAAGGCTGGGCTCAAACTTGCAATCCCTTGCCCCCCCTCTTAATAAACAAAGTATCAAAGGAAAAGTATGACTTTCTATCATTCTTTCTATATCAGAAGAACCAGAACCCCCGGGCCCCTTACCTTGGCCTTCTTGAGCAGGTCCACGATGTCCAGGTTCATGGAGGCCAGCTCCCGGCTGGGCATGCTCTGCAGCTGCGTGACGATGAACAGCTCGCAGATGTGCTGCAGCCTGGACACCTGGTACATCTCGGCGCAGATCAGCAGGCACATGGCCTGGAAGATGCCGGCTGGGGAAGGGGACGTAAGAAAGCGCAGACGGTAAAGCCAATGCCAGCCTGATCTAAACACACATACCAGAAACCATGATGATGGTATCTCCCAGTGCAGACTAATACGCCTAGAAACCTTGAGGCAGGCAGCAGTCTATACTGTCACTCTTTTTTTTTTTTTAGTATATATAATATGATCCCATTTATTTAAAATAAATATTACATATTTGCTTATGTATACATACATATTTTCTGAAAATTACACAAAACTGTTAATAGAGGTTACATCTAGGGACTGGTAATACTGGAAGTAAGATGCCAGAAGGAGACTTCATTTTCATTTTATACCCTTACATATTGCTTTGGATATCTTACTATATTTTTTAAAAGACAGAATTGAGGATCCTCCTATTCAAGATAATGTATTTTTATTCACATTTCTCTAACATTTATATTTGACTTTCTTCAAGAAAAACTGACTTGAGGTACTCAATGTTTTTGTAAATGTATTTCTAACAGTAAGGTCACATGAATTTGGCAGGTTTATTTTAAAAATTACATATTGCTGAAGTTTTATAAATGACAAAACTTTAGATGGGATGCTTACTGGAGAATTTCTTTTTCAAACTCACTTTTAAAATTATGCAAATAATAGGATCATTGTAGAAGACTGGGAAAATATAAGAGTACAAAAAGGAAAACCACAATCACATATAACCACTCTTACCCAGTATTGTTTTGTTGTTTTTTCTTTACACGTATATTAACATGTAGTTCTATCTATATATAAAATACATTTACAAAGCTGAAATCATAGTATACCTACAGCTCTGTATCCTGCTTTATTTCCCCCAACACATAACAGATCCTCAATAAACACGTTAAATTAAATTACTGAATGAGTATTGTACCATTTCTCAGATCTTTAGTATTTTGTACTCTGATCCAATAACTTTTCCAAAGGAATGATCATGCAGATACAGATAAATTGAAACATATCATAAACTGTATTTAAAAACTGGAAACCAAGTAAATGCCCACTGTCACTCTCTTTTGGGGGTTAGAGGAGTTGAGGCAAGGCCTCGCCATGTAGTTCCGGCTGGCCTTGAACTCACTATGTAGCCCAGGCTGGTCTTGGGCTTGTGGCCATTCCACCTGCTTCAGCCTCCTGAGTGCTGGGATCACAGAAATGTGTCACCACAACATCTATTTAAGCCTTTACACCCAGAAGAGAATTTTTTTTTTATTTTAATTCTCCAGAGAAGTGATTCTGTAATTACTCTTAAGAGAGGCAATCCAGAGCTCTCGGGTAAATTCTTCTGTTAGCTGAACCAACAAAGTTTGTCTTTTTTGGATGTAGCCCCCAGGTTTGTTTTTGTTTTGTTTTCATTGTGATAAAATAAATATAAGCTAAAATTTACCTTTCTAATCTTTTTTTTTTTCCAATAATGGGAACTGAACCGAGGGGTACACTCTATCACTAGGCTAAGCCCAGCCTCTTTTTTTATTTTGAGACAGGGTCTGGCTAAGTTGCCCAGTGGGACTTAATTAATGATCTTCCTGCCTCAGCCACCCAAGTTCTGAGATTACAGGTTAGCACCCCCATGCCCGACTTCGTTTCAATCAGTTCAGGGTTACAGTTCAGGCCCACGAAGCACCTTCACTATGCTGAGTGCCCACCACTGTCACCCATCTCTAGAACTTTTTTTCTTTTTCATTTTGCCAAACGAATACCCTATAGCAGTGATGTGAACCTTCTCGAGCTGTCAGTAACAAACAGCCCCTGCAGAAGGGTGCTGTAGGTTCTCCTCCCACCACACACCCACACTCGGGAACAGTAACTCTCCACTGCTCCACTTCCAGCCTCTGGCAGCCACCTCCACTTTTCTCTTCCTTTTTTTTCAAACACTTGTCAAGAGGTCTACTCTTTCTTGCAATTTTCTTTCTTTTCCCTCTTCAAAGTCCTTATATTCTTTTGTAGCAGTGGAATCAAGAGTACTGCATATGGCAAGTAGTTAAATAAGGAGCATTCTGTAACTTTCCCAATGCCTATGTTCAGGCTATTTGGCTTAAATCTTTGTTCATTTTGATTAATTTTCCCCACCGTACTTTTTACCAACTTTTATAGTATTTTCTTTTTTCTTTCTTTTTTTTTTTTTTTTTTAGACAGGGTCTCACTATGTTGTTGAGACTGACCTGGAACTCACTATGTAGCCCAGGCTGGTCTTGAACTCACAGCGATCCTCCTGCCTCAGCCTCACAAGTGCTGGGATTACAGGCGTGTGCCACCATGCCTGGCTTTTTTTTTTTTTATTTTTAGTATTTTATTCTATATTTATTGCTTTCCTGAGCACTTTTTCCTAATTAACAAGGTAAAAACTAAAATAAGCAGGTTCACTTACTCAAATGAGATGATGAGAAACAAAATTTTTTATTATTTTAAATTTGCTCAATTTCTTACTTAATAGACAAATTTATGAATGTTGAAATAATAAACCATTACATTTTTTTCCACTAAGAACTAAGAAAAGCGAATCTTTAACACTGTAACATCTGGCTCCAAAACATTCTATGACTAGCTGCAAGACCAGAATTAATTCAGTTTAAAAGGAATATTCCTGTTTGGAACTTCAAAACCTTTTCACTAGAGGGTTCATGGCTTGTTTAAAACTTATTTTAGTAGCACATGCACGAAATCTTCCCAATCTAAAAGTTAAAGCAGTGAGTCTGAGGAGAGGCATGGTCTGAAAGGGGTGTTTTCTTTTTGTATTTGCTAGGATGCCGGCCAGGTTTTGTAATCAAGGTCTCAGGCCCTGGACCTGCTAGGCAAACTACCCGGGAGATCATCTAGCTGTTTGTGACCGGCGCCACCTGGTGGTCAAAGGGTGAAGAATAACAAAAGGGCTTTCTGCGCCTGTGTCCCAAGGCTCTAGGCCCGTTTGGTGAAGGGATTTTGCTCTTTCTCCAGGGACCGACCTTCAGCTAAAGGAAATGTGCAAGGTCTGTTCCAACATGTAGCTGCGACAGGTAGTTGGTTCCTGGTCAAAGACAGTCTCTGGCCAGTGAATGTGGAAATAAATCCAAAAGTCTTCAGAAGTCAGTATAACAACAATCTGACTTTAGAAATTAGAAGGCTCCTTTAAAAATCCATATCCTCTGGCCAGAAAGAAACAAGGGTGTTGTCTGCTATAAAAATCACTTGAAAATGCCCCAATCAGAAGTTAGACATAAGAGCGGTTATCCAATCCTCTTCCTATGGAAGAGAGAAGGCTCCTGTGCTCCACAAAGTCCTCTGCCCCAGTCTCTAGAACTAGGCCCTGGGTACTCCCAGATGGCTCCATTGTTGGGGTGTCTTTGGAGATCACCACATGTTGCTGCTGGATGAGGCAAGCATGTGAACTTATGCCATAGTCTGAGCCCAGAAAGGCTCCCAATCATTAAGTGAAAACAGATTTCACAGAAAGCAACTTACCAAAATGGTATCAAGGATAGAAAAAATTGTGAGAAATTACATAGAATACTGCTCACCTGGGCAACAGGAGTCTGTGTATAGGTATTCTAAAAAGGACAAGAAAGTCTCTTTGGAAACGCCATACACGGGAATCAGGACACTCTTGGCTTCCATGTAATTACCATTAAACATGGCTGCCATCACTTCACAGCGGGCCACCAGGATGGCCCTGTGGGCTGGCACTGTCGTACCTGACAGGTGCAAGAAGGAAACAAAGGCAAGTAAGGTAGACTTGCAGAATTACTATGCTGGCAGTTCCCTAGTGTGGTATTGCACTAGGCACAGCTAAGCTGATAGGCAGAAACCAAAATTTTGGGTGGTCACCAACTTCACTCTGGAGACACCTCACTTTTAAACAATAAAGATAATTCAAAAGATGACTCTGAATGTAACAATTTGCAAACCAGGCATCCATTTGTTATTTAATTTACATTTCTTAAAAGTAGAAACACTGAAATAGTGTGTTTTGGTTTACGTTTTTATAATGAAACATCTCTCCTTTCTAATTGGCTTGAAAAACCACCACTGCTGCTCATGTTCCTCCACGAAAACCACCCCTCTTAGCAAAACTGACAGAAGAGACTTGGCCATGTTGGTTTGGGTCTAAACGTCCCTCACACCTCATGCACTCAGAGGCGGGGCTTTTGAATGCTGACTGGATCATGCAGGTGCAGAGCTGACTTATTAGGAAGCAGGGTCACTGTGACTATGGCCTGGAAGGGTTGGTCTCCCTCCCCTGCTCCTCCGTTTCTTTCCTAGCCACCCTGACATGAGCAGTTCTCCTCTGCCCAGGCCCCTCCACAATGCTGGCCAACTACAGATTAAAAACATGAGCCCAAATAAACCCCTCCTCCTTTAGGTTGTCAGTGTTGAGTACTGTGCTCCAGGAAACAGAAAGTGACCAAGACACCAAGCTCCCCCACACCAGAAACAGGAAACTGTGAGGATTAAAGCATCAACAGTCCACACCTCACAGCAGGAACAGCAAGAGAACTCTTGTGAAGCCGAGGAGAGTATCTTACACGTTAGAAGAGTGGAAGGAGATGTCCTCGATCCCTATTGTTTCCCCAGCACACTGTGGCCCTAGAAAATTCACGTTCTTCCACATGAAAAGCACTCTCTTCCAAGTGATTACCATTAAACATGGCCTTTGATCTTCAAGGCTCCCTAACCCCACTCCCCACACTGAAGCTCACCAGACTAAACCGACCCTCTCAGGAAGTCAGCCTAGTTCCATGTCGCAGATCATTATCAAGCACTCATGCGCAGATCATTTATTGGGTTTGGAATGGAGGGTACAAGGATGAGGAACCCCTTGCTTTGGAACAGGACAGCACTGCTAGGGGAGTGACAAGGCCCCTTCCAGAAAGCACCCAGTGAACCAAAGCCCTCTGCTTTGCCCACGAAGTGGCCTACATACCCCTAAAAACATATGCTATACAGTCTTCCCTAAAGTATTTCCAATTATTGTGCTATCTCTCTTTAACCCAAGCAAAACATCTCTAGGTTCAGGGAAGAGCTCCACCTAAGCTCAGTGGCTCTCCCCAGAGCCAATAATCCTTCAAGATCCTCAAGCAACCCGACACCGCCAGCTGTGCCCAGTGGCTGGCTCAGCACTGTGCACAGCCACATGGCCTCCAAAAGCAGCCTCCGGGAGCACCCACCCTGTCCGCAAACTCCACACCCACCAGCAGGCGGCCCCTTCTCAGCACTCCCTCCTGGGTTCAAGGTCACAGGGGCTGCCTGCCATGAGGGCCAGTTCTGTAACAGCAAGCCAGGTGTACTGGTAGACGGCAATTAACGAGAAATTCAAACAGGTAATACAATTTGATTTATAATATTAAGGTTTTAAAATATTCAAGATAAATAGGGCATTGTTTTTTTAATGAAAAATAAAGCTTAAACAAACTAATGATTCAATGTGTGCGTTAAGAGTATGTGAATTAAAACTACCAGGTAGATAGTAGGTGGGGGTGGAATTTGATAAGTAGACCTTGAAATTTAGGAAAAACTTCTGCTGATGATATTACAACAGTGATACAAACAAGCGACGAAATACTCACTACCTGAGACAATTTTAAACCCATGGTAAGCAGGGAATTTAGTCTAGAAAACCATTACATTTCCAGTTAAGAAGACAGCAACTTCTGTTACTTAGTTTTTTCCTATTTTGGTGTTATAAATCTTTGTGCTGTGAAATGCAATACAATAACCACAGTATAGTTACATATATTAACCCCACAAATAAAAATACTTGCTGAAAGAACGTAAAGCAGTATTTCTGTACAAACTAGCGATACTTGGGCGGGGGAAGACATAAATTTTCTAGTTAAAAGATAAATGTGGACCCTGTAAATGTTAAAGCCGAATTACTTTTTCTTTGTAGTGATCTTTTTCTTGGTACCAGGGATCAAACTCAGGTCCTTGTGCATGTAAGGCAGAAGCCTAAACCCCTGAGCTAAATCCCCAGCCCTGTAGTGTTCATTTGATGTTACAGTTTTAACAGTGTTTTCTGAGGAAATGTTTTTATTTCATTAAGAATGAAATAAAACTTAAAAGCCCAAGTATTTTAGTCCCTTCACATGGATTCATGTATTAAAATATTTGCATTTGTCATGCCTTCATATATATTCCAGGTTTCAAAAGTGAAATTTTTAGAATTACATTTGACTTCATTCTGAAAAAAGGAAATATATCTGGGTACAGTATAGATGGGTCGAGTTCCCTCAGATTGATTCAGGAGGGCAGCAAGGACCACAGAGAATGACTGAGGTTTTGAATATGCACTATGTAAGTGAATAGGAAAAGAATTTTTTATGTGACACAGATTCAAAGATACAAAACACATATCTTTCTATAGCATGCCTATTTACCAAGACTTGCTTTAGTATTCTACAGCTATAGTAACTTCTTTTTTTAAAAAACAAATCCAAAAAATTACAGGTGGCAGTAAAAGTAATATACAACTGAAGGCCAGCTGTTATAGGAATAGTATCGCTCATTAGGGTTTTACATTTCAGTCAGCTCCAGCTGGTCATTGGGGAGGCCTAGAACGTTGCAGGCAACAGATGCACTGTGGTGCCTGAGTTCAACAGGAAGAAGTCCAAGGACTCCTGGGGCAGGGGTGCAGGCTGCAAGCCAGGTGCCACTCATCCTCCCCAGGCACTATCTCCCGCCTTTTCACCAGCCCACCAGGCAGAAAACAGAAACCTCACTGACAGGTGAGGAAACAAAGAAACTCCACTTTGTGAATGGGAAATTTCTGTTACCACGTCACGGTTACTCAGCAAATTTCACATGCATGTACCGTCCACTTGGTGTATTTGGTCAATCTTAAAGGATCAGAAAGGGCAGGGACATAGCCAAGTCTCTGCAGTCAGTAAGTCCGCATCCAAGCAAAGATCCCAGCCGGCCCTTCCCGCCTGTGTTGTGATGGCCTCAGCAACGCCCTTCAGCGATCCGCTGTGCTCCCAGTTGTCCCAGTGCCTCCGTCCTCTACATCCCCACTAGCCTTGTATGAAGCTGAGGGTGTTCAGGCTCAAAACCAGAGTGAAGAAATCAAAGATTCATTACATGGGACTTCACATTTACTATTACTGTATGAATCAAAAAGTGACATTTAAACGAATAAGTATTTAATTTTTAAATTACCTTGCTTATCACTTCATATTAATTTATATTAAGGATACCAAAGTTATACTCAGATGTGAATGATTTCACAGTTACAGATGTTTCAGGATAGTATTTTTCACTATATTCTAGATAAAGTGTATACTGAAAAAAAAATGAAAGTTTCAGACTTAACTATAACTTTAAAAAAATTTTATAATTAAGATTTGAGATGGGTTATTAACTAGGCATTAGTCTGAGGATCTGGATTAAGTCAAAGAGCAATCACTTAAAATATAAGAACACTTCACTTCTCCATTCCTGGTGTAAGACATTTAAATTAAGACATCAGACAGTTTTTCACAGTGACATTACAATGTGGCTGCCTAGTAATAATTTAACTACAACTAGCATCCGTAGATGGGTCACACTGAGGCATGAGTATGATCTCAACAGCAAATCTTCAGTGCCTGCTATAAACTGTCATAGAATGACAAGAAAATAAAACAGGATTCTGGGAGAATGCGCTCTGACACTTCAAAGAGAGCAACAGCTATGACTAAACCATGGTGAAATCGATGGACTTGATCTAGTTGCACTAGCCAGACGTCTCAGGCGCATTCTTTGGTGTGCATGTTGGCGCCCGACCATCACTGGGCAACAAGGGCTAGAAATGACAGTCACAATACTGGGCAAGTGTTAGACACCAACACCAGCACACAGCACCGCTTCAGCACACGACTTGGCACATAGGATCCCTGTGGAACGCTGCCAGGATCAGGGCAACAACTACATTCTACAGGCTATAGGAACAATAATTGCCCTGAAAATGTCTCAATACCAAAAGGCTTTCATTGCAGATTCGAATATTAAAAAACAAATAAAATAAAATAAAGGATATTCAATTGGGAAAACTGTTCATTACCTAGTTCCCTCCACTTTTTATTTTTCTGGTACTAGGATTGAGTCCAGCACCTTTACACTGGACCACACCCCAGCCCTATTTGCTTGTTTGCTCGTTTGTTTGAATTTTGAAATAATGTCTCACTAAGTTGCCCAGGCTAGGCTTGAACTTTGATCCTTCTGACTCAGCCTCCTAGAGTTCTGGGGTTATCGTTATATACCACCACACCCAGCTTCTAGTCCCCTTTTTAAAACAGAGGAAAAATAGCAAATATGCCAAAAATCAACCACTGGACATCACTGGAGAAAAGAATTATTAGTAATTTTTTTAATCACTACCATCCCCAGCGCATTTCCTAAAATAACGACTGCTCATCATAGGTCTATACCCTTGGTGACCCTTTTATACATTTATGAACAAAACAGACCTGTGTTCTATAAATGAGGTCATTATGTGTACAGTGGCCTCTAGCAATCATACATGAGTTTCACAATCAGAATGAATAAAGTTTCTTTGTGAATATATATCCAGCCATCTGTTACAAAGGACATAGGGCAGGCCAATGATTTCTCTGAGGGCTCTGCTCCTCCTCCCGTTCCCTTAGAAGGCCTCACTACGCCACTGGAGGAGCGGAGCCAGCTGCGAATGTACCACATCGAAGTGAGTTCAAACCCGCTCCAGGGACTCTGACCCAGGCTCAGCCTCTAGCACCCCGCCACTCTCCCAATTGGCCTCCCCTGCAGCTGACAGCGGAGAAACTGCAGCCAGATCCTGCTTCCGTCCACTCCTGCTCCTCTCTGCTCCCAGTTTGGTTTTTGAGCTGTGAAGGCCACGAAAATTCCCACAGCAGCCACCGCAATTCTCAGGACAGGGAACTAGCGAGTCTTTCCTGACTCTGACCATTTCCGACCCAGCCTTCCTGAAGTTGCAGGGTGCGCACAGATGCCAGTGAAAAAGGCCAGGAGGTAAAATAATGGAAGAAAAACAAGAACTGAGAGGAGAAAGGATGCTCTGTTTTCTTTTACTATAACAGGTAACATGCGTTGTGCGCTCAATCCTGTTGATACTCATTTCAGCAGGTCACACTGACATAATGCTTGGGGCCAGCGCTTTCTATGCTAATTATAAGCAGGTGTTAACATCTGCTATGCACACCTGGCAGGTATGCACAAGAGAGAAAAGGTGGGGATGGGAATCAATCCCAAATCAGTGAATCTATGATGGGGCCATAAATTCATATCCCATTACTTGGGAAGCTGTTCTCAAACTGTGCTACATAATTAACATCGCTGGCTGACGAACTCTCTCCTCTCGTGGGCTCGTTACCAGGCAAAGCCTTCTGGAAGGGCATTTATGCTTCAGATTCTGATTCCCAATTTCAGAACAATTCAGCTCATAACCAACAGCCACTTGTTAAAGGCAAGTCGCTGTTCTGGGGACCCTAAGAGACACAATGATGTAACAACACAGATCCTTCCTTAATGGAATTGAGTTTTCTCCAAAACTGGAGCTATGGCATACTTCTCATAATCTACACACACACACACACACACACACACACACACACAGAGAGAGACAAAAGTTACTCATTTGGAAATAAACCCAAGATTCTAACCTGAATGTAAATGACTGAGGGGTTTGAAAACATCAAAAACTTCAATCAAGGAGACCTTGACTGAAGGTGACAAAACAAGGTCAGGAATATCTGAGGGCTCAAACTTGATTATGACTTAGACGCCTGTTCACCTACACTGACTGATTGGTATCAAACAGTGCATGTGTGGTAAGAAGAGGTTGGTCAGCTGAGCCACAGGGGAATAGCAGAGCACCACCAGGAAAGTAGAGACGCTGGATCTGAGACACCACTATGCTTCCTCACAATGGAAAGCATTCCTCACGCTCACAGGGCCCAGGAGAAAGAGCATCAGAACAGAAGCAGCTCCTGTACGTTTACCACAAGGCCTTCAGATCACTACCTCCTTCCTCTTAGGAAAAGCCTGCCCTGGACTGTCAGAGTCCCTGGAATGGTCTGCCACCACCTCATCTTCAGCTGTTGGAGACCCGTCAAGCCTAAGACATGGCAACAGCTGAAGGACAGCCCTCCCTGCCCCACAGGAAGTCACATGGAAAAGAGCACTCAGCCACCTCCAGGCCACCAGTCACTTCTGCCAGAACACAGACACGGTTACTCCAACTTTCTAAAACAGACTTTAAAAAAAAACCTGGATTTTAAAAAATCCATTTTGGAAAGATACAAATACTTGTTTTATTTGTGAGTCATATTTCCTATCAACAATAGGTGTGTTCTTTTCTGTTTGAATGTGAAGCTTCTTAGAAAATTTGTACAAAATTATGTACCCTATATTTCTTTTATATGGACACACCCTGTACCAAGCACTTTTCGTAATCACTTTGAGCAATAGAGATTTTTTCCCCAGAAGCTAATGAGGAAATTCTGTAATCACCACAGCTTTTATCGCTGATAAGAGTTACTGCACCTATCATGAATAATTTATGGAAGCTGGCTTAGATCTACATTTTGGAGTTTTATTTTAACATGGACTAAATCAAGGTGTAACAGTGTTATGGACTGAGTCAGAGTCAGTTTTAGGTTTCTCTAACATGATGAAAAAGGGTTGCAGAAAATCTAACTTCTTAACATTTTTTCTTTCCAATCATTTTTTTGTATCTCAAGGTCACTCATACTTGTCCCATCTTGAGTGTCCCCAAGGTCACACTGCAGAAGGTGCTGACAGTAGCTCCAAAAGGTACTTTGGAAAATTCCCAATTCCCTGTTTGTCTTGGCAAGTGACCGAGTTTAAAAGTAAAATGAACCTTTCTTGGGAAAAATGTTTAAACGACTATGTCAACTGCTATACATTCCTACCCTAAAATTAGAATTGTATCTTCTTCTTTGTAACAGTCCCTCTAAAGTTCTACGTAATTCACTTGGAAGCAACCCCCTCTATCCTTCTTGCATAATTGAAGGCATCTTATAACTCATGTTTAAGGTTATGCTTTTAGTGTACTAAAGTGACAAAATTATCTATGTCAGTAATCAACAATGGGCATTTCAACAGCTCATCTTTATTAAAATTAGATTAGCAGTACTTTCCCATGGAGATGAAAGCAGCTTTCAGTCACTCTGGGGGCAGCAATGCTGAGCACTCACTGTGAGAAATCAATGTAGCAATATCTGTGGGCACCTGGTGCGGGCCAGGCATGACTCTCAACGCACAGTTAGTTTCTTTCGCTCAAATAAAGAGAGACGAATAAAATAAGCAAGTGGCAATATATTTTAAAGGAGCTGTTATCAGATGAATAAAAAAACTAGAATCTGAAAGAAATATACAAACAAAAATATACATGACAGCTTACCTCATCCTTTGTTGATCCCCCCAAATTAATGAAGTATACAGTAACGGGGGGGAATACTATGCAAAATATAAATAAATTTTCTTATTTTTATAAACTACTTCATTTCCCTAAATTTTGTCAAAATTCGGGTGGTATTAATCTGTCTTGTGACAGTCACCCCTTCACCCTAAGTATTCAAGCCTGAATCAGAAACTGAGGAAAACAAGAAATAAAAATGCAGAAGGAACTTTGAGCCATACCTTGTATTTCGAAGACAACATCAGCAAGCATCGGTTTATTTAGGAAAAACTTGAGGGAAGTGTTATAAAACCACAGAGGTTTTCTGGCTTGGTAAGTTTTGCAATTCCTTAGGCAATTGATCTATAAGAGAAAAAAAGACAGACACCAGGGGAAGGTTGTTCAGTAGGCTTTGGTACAGGCTGGTTTGAGAACCTGGGAAACTAAACTCTTTGAAGAAATAATGACACCTGCTCAATGGCAGCTTTCAAGGGAACTCACCCTCTGGCCCCACAGCTGCCACCATCAAAGAGTGGCGCGTGCGCACACACACACACACACACACACACACACACACACACACCCAGCACTTGCAGCAGCCCAGGAGCTGGCCAAGAGCAAACTCCAATGTACAGCTGAGAAGATGCAGGCTCCAGAGTCACTGCACACAAGTCCAGACTCACAAATACCTAGTAAAATAGGTATCATTTACCTCCTGATTTCTTTGAGGGGTGGGGACTGAAACCAGGACTTTCGCACTGAGCTATTCTCCCCAGCCCTTTTTTATTTTTTATTTTGAGACTGGTTCTCACTAAATTGCTAAGTTGTCTGGGCAGGGCTTGAACCTGTGATCTTCCTGCCTCAGCCTCTCAGAGTGCTAGAACTGACTGTAAGTGTGTGCCATTACACCAGGCTATCCCATCTGATATCTTCATTAAGAAAATACATAGACAACAAATTAATACGCAATTAAGAAAAATATATTAACTCCTTATCACACGTCATTCAACTGCCTAGTAGCTCAACATTTTCTGCTAAAGGAATGAACATGAAAAAAATACCTGTGTGTGATGGTAAATTGGCTCTTCTCCAGCTAACTATCAATCTTATAATCCCAACCAGGTTTTCTCTGCACAGCAGAAATACTGAAGCCTAGAGAAAGCAGCCTAGGCCTCTACCCTGGAAACACTTCTCACCTTCCATCCTGTCACTCCTGTTTGCTCCAGCAGGCAGCTTCTGCGGACAGAGCTTCCATCCCTCTCAGGCTGTGGTGCCCTGCTTATCCCTGCTGTGGCCTTTCCAGACATCTGCTGGCCCGGCCCTAGCAGTTGAGGCAGCTTTCCTTTCCTCGCCCTCCACCCATTTCTTTTTTATTTACTCTAATTTATTTACAATGAGTAAGAGAACAAAGCCTGAACAATAATTGCAAGTAGAGTCCCCCAAAAGATGAAGAAATAATAAGTCATTGCAAGAAATATCTGGATCATCAGGACTGTGACCTTATAATGAGGATCATTATTTTACTCCTTCCTGATGGCTCCACCCATTTCCCTGACAGAATCCCAGAACCTAAGTCCTGGTTAGAATCTCAGAACTCTGACCTGCCTCAACAGAGCTAGGGAGATGAGAAAACTTTATCTCTAAGGAATAATCAGACATATACTTTAACAATAAGAACAGGGCTGGGGATTTAGCTCAGTGGTGCCGCCACCTGCCTTGCAATCACAAGGACCTGAGTCCGATCCCCGGTACCAAAAAAAAATGAACAAATGACACCTGCTCTTCACTCTGAATTAATCTACTACGGTGAGAATTTTAAAATCGCTCCAGGGGGAGGGATGATACTATTCTTCCTCACAAGAAAGAAGAAAACCACTCCAGAATGGTACTCATGAGCAGAGAGACAACCAGGACGATCTGAATCCTGGTCCTAGAAAGTACATCCTCAGAGCCTACACACAACACGCCACAACACTCACTAAGTAACTGTGGGACAGCACATGAGTGACTGTCATCCAGGAAAGGTGAGTAACAGTCAAAACCACCAAAGAACTGGAGAGCTACCAGGGGCTGGAAGAATCACCTGGTTCATCCCTTACTTCACAGAAAGCTCAAAGACAGAGATAACCTGTGACAGACTCACAATTAAATTCATACTTCCTGAGTCCCCATCCAGTGTTACCTCTGTGACATACTCAGTAGATGGCACAGAACAGAATCCCAGAAAAGCCCAGGAGAAGGGGTGGAAGAATTCTTTCCTTCTCCTGTGTGAAAGAGGGATGTTTATTTCAGTATTATGGAGTCATATGGCCCCAGACTTCCACAACGGAAGTTCATTTCATTCTCAGTACTCAAAAAAAGAATATGTGCAGAATGAGACTCAGGAAACGCACAGCCTTAGAACAAAAGCAGAACTTCCTCCCTTTCTATTCATAGGAAGGTAATAAATGTGTATACTGTGAATCTTACGTAGATGTGTACTACTGATGAGTACATACACAGTATCTATACAGAGGAGAGAATAGGAATTTATATAAACAGATTCTTTTGTCACTTCTGTAAGTTTGTGGGGAAAAAAGAGAAGGGCAGAAATTTGGTGAGAACACAGATGTACAAGATATCCATTTTCAATGGCTGATGAATGAGTTAATCAGACTGTTTTGAAAAATAGAATGTAGGTATATGCTCATAGTTTTGCAAAATGATTATTTAGTTGAATTGGGTGGCAAGAGAGCTACTATTCTGCTAGCCATCTGGAAAACTGTACAGCTTTGGTGTACCTATGTCAATGAGTTATTGAAGCAAAAGAAAGATCTTGTCCCTTAATTCCACATTACTTTGTTTAAAAAGTCAAAACTAGTTGGGAATTTTCATTACATTTAGATTTAGTACAACTTATATTTTTAAATGTTTAACTTGAAAATATTAGTAACTTAGGCTGTATATTAAAGTAATCTGTATAAAAAAATTTGAAGGAATTACCTTTCCTGTACATTTAATGTAAACCCACAGTCTGGTACACATTGCATACAATCTATACAACTTATATTTATTATAGTCAACGTGTTTATTACAGAATCTGAAACAAGGACATACCAGCTAAATTGTGCAATACAGCTGTCTTAAAATGTAACAGATCTACTTTTAAAGCCCCCACAGACTCTACAATCTAAGTCACTGGAGTTTTAATGTGCACATTTTATGGCTATATACAAAAGCTGAAAGATATATTTATAATCTTGACCCTAGTTTATAATGTGAATCTATACTTGAGAGAATATTTAACTGTCTACCCAGTTAAATATATTTCTCAAAATGTCCTATTCCTGAAACCAATTTGGACTTCAATTGCGAGGATGAGAAATCACCCCCTCCCAGAAGTATGACTACTGCTCTACAAATCAAACAGCCCTTCACTCCTAACATAGACCTTGTATTCCAACAATGTTCCAGAAGATGGAATTTACAAACAAGCATTTTAACGACATGACTCACACATACTTTAATTCTTACATAAAATAAAATCTAAGTGTGAGATAATGTGTGTCTCTATTTTAAAAATTTAAATGGGAAAACATAAAGAAAAACATTCACATTTATGTATTTAACTCTTCTAATGACTAAATATATTTATCCCAGTAAATCAGCTATAACTCAAGAACCAAACAAATTAATTTACCTTTCCTGGTGTCTTTAAAATACATTTAACTTTCTCAATGACATTAGAAACATCTCCAGAATCTTGCAGCTTCTTCCTGATATTGTCTTCCAATTCTTCCCACTGAAAAGCACCTGTAATAAATTAGGACATGTCAGGCTTTGCCAATACAGCAGGGGTAAGAAAAATAAATCTCTTACTAGATATCAATATCCTCTTTGCTAGGTATCTTCTCTTAATTTTTCTTCACCAAACATATATCCTTATAATTAAAAGATACTTTTAAAAATTCACATTTTCAACAGATGAGTCTGCCTCCCTTTAAATTACTTGTTGAAATCTGACATTCCCGCTTGCCTAGTTGACACCCAGAGAAGGCTGGCAGGTAATAACAGTAAGCACTGAGCGGAGTGACAGTTACCACAACATGTGGCCCAAGGCCTTTCCTTCCCCAAGGAAGAAGGTGGGCGTGATCTTTCCCAACTCTGAACTCAATCCCACTAAAGAAGAGCAGTCACAACCATCGGGTAGAGGGCTCTGTAGCCAGAACGGAACACTTTGGTGGGTCAGATGGACCTCTCTGCAAAACCAACCCCAGGAAGGCAGTGCGATCATTTCCTGATGAGCCACATGACCACGCCACTGAAGAACATCACCCCACCTGGTCCCTCTCACCCTTTCCTTCACCCCAGCCCACTTCTATCCACTCCTTCCTAGGCTCCTTTCAATCTGTTCCCAATCTGTCAACCCCTTTCCCACTGTACCTTACCAAACTCCGACTATATGTTCAGGGAAACTTCACCTTCTCCCTAGTTCCCCCCTCAGCTGGCCTCCAGAAGCCTCCTAACCCGCATCCCTGCTCCCTAATGACCTTTTCCCCTTGGAATCTATCCTTTACACAATGCTGATAAGTTTCAATGGCATGATTCTGATTCTGATATTCTTAAGAGATTTACCCGCATCCCTGCCATGACTTACAGAAAGTCCTAACTCCTTCAAGTATAACTCCAAAAGTGTAGCGTGGGAGCAGTTAGGAGACCCAGATTCTATTCTAGCTCTGCCAGGAGTATGAGCCAGGTACGTCACCTCTCTCTGGGTAACTTCAGACCCTTCGTAACTGTTCCCAATCCATTTCTTCTGCTGGATACCGAGGAAGGGGGAGGCCATGGAGTGTGTACATATTAAACCAAAGAGATCAGGCAATTACAGCCAACCTCTATTAAGCAGAAGCAAACCAGACCGGAAGGATCAGGCCCCTAATCCGGAGGCTCTTGGGGCTCCTTGCACTGAGCCCTGCAGTGCTTGCTGTGCTTCCTGTGTGTCCTGGGGAGGCGGAGCCCTCATGGGCAGCATTTGCCATTTCTGTGGTGTCAAAACTCCCATCTCAGATACAGGGATGTTTTTACGAAGTGCAGAAAAGAGCATGCTACAGAGTAATTCAAGGGAAGGGAGAATAATGTTGACAATCATATTCAGAAAAGGATTACTTCCCCAAAACCAGGAAACTGCAGGTCTCACTTTGCCAGTACTCCTTCTCCTCCAAGCACTGGACCTTAAATACATACACATCCTACGGTGTTCTTTGTTTATCCAATGGAAAATTCACACAAACAAAACGGACATACCTCGATTTGCCTTAATAAAAACTTGGATCAGGAAAAGAAACTGAAGCCATACACATAGGTGTAAAATTTTAACCAGACTATTAAGCAGGTCCCTCTTAAATAAAGGACTAAATGCCCACGGTGAGACAATATATACAACATTCAAATCGCTAAAGATAACAAAGTATGTCACTTAAAAAGAATTAGGATGTTCTCTGTCGGTTCTTTTTTTAGAAACGGGGGGAGGAGGAGGAAGGAGATAGGTTTATTGTGATTTTTTAGCTGTGTTTGCTCAGGACAAACATTTCGTGGGCACGTCAGGCCACGGGCCTCCACCTTCGTGCCTGCAGTATGGCCACTAACGGGGCTCCTGTCTTCCTCTGCTGCTGCACTTCTCTGGGAAACCACCATGGAACTGTGTCTTGACACTGTGTCTCCTTCAAAGGTTTAAAAATGTTCCAAAAAAAAAAAAAAGTATTGACGGTTCTAAGAATGTAGATTTAAATTTCTCATTCAATTTGGTAAAAAAAAAAAAAATTTAAGAAGAGTAACTTCCACAAAGGAGGACCAGAGGGAAAATAATACAACATCATAATGTTCAGGTATTTTCTTCTAATAGTGAGATTTTGATGGTGACATCTTTGCCTCTAGACAAATTTTATGCATTTTTCTTTACTGTGTAAATACAACTTTAATATCTTTTTTGTTTTGTTTTGTTTTTTTGAGACAGAGTCTCACTATGTAGTTCGGACTGCTCTGGAACTCACTATATAGCCCAGGCTGGTCTCGAACTCGCAGCAATCCTCCTGCCTCAGCCTCCCGAGTGCTGGGATTACAGGCATGCGCCACCACGCCCAGCTCTTTAATATCTTTTTTAAGCAAAATTAAATACTTTTGCTGGAGTCTGAGGTTGTTATGTGTGAAAAATTAAGGAACAGCGAGTAGGTAAGTGCAGAAACAGTTGTTTCCCCTTCTCCTACAGCCCAGGTCAGGGCCTGCAGCTGTCACACCTGTACTACCTCCTGCCTGCACAGCAGAAATGCAAAGGCTCAGTGAGGGAAGCCAGGGAGGCTCTCCACACTCTTCGCATCCTCCTCCAACTCTAGTTCCTAAATCCCTACTTCCTAGCTCACTTGGTTTCCACCCTTGGCTAAGCATCCACCTCCTCAATGTTGGCAGGGGACCCAAGAGGGCACCGAGAACCCAGGCTCCGAATAGCTCGGCACTAATGGGCCTGGCAGCTCACTCACTGTGTGTCCTAAGTGAAAACAGCTCCTCTCCTCAGCTTCCCCACTGAATTCCAAGCCCTCATTCACAGTCTGTGATGGGTCCCCACTCCTTCCCAGAGTAGAACCATAAAAATGTGAGATCATTCAAAACGTAGAACCACACGTGCCAGCCCAGGGTTCCTACAGAGCCAGAATGTGTACATTAACAAGATCTCCAGGTGACTCGTAGCAACTCAAGGTCTGAATGCACAGGTCCAGGCAAGGACAAGGACCAAGGCCACGCCACTCATACCACGATGCTGGCCTTCCTGTGGCTGTGGACAGATGATGGCGCCTCCCGACCAGACTCTGGTCTTGCCTGCTCTTTCCCAGCTGTTCACCATCACCGGAGACGAACTTTCTAAAGCCTGGTGTAGTCCGGGCAGGGAGCTCAACGCAGAGCACTTGCCCGGCATGTGTGAGGGCCTGGGTTCTGTTCCAACCCCATACCAGGGATGGGGGACCCTCTAGTAGGGCTTCTAGGAGGCAGAGACAGTGCCCACAGGCCCTGCCTGACTCCTCCTACAAGCCATCACTCCTGCTCTATGCTCCCTCCTGCAGGGAAACTGCCCTAGGTCTTCAGAAAAGCACAGTTCCAAGGACCCCATTTTCCTTAAAGCAAAGCTGAGTATACTAATCCCCTTCAGAGAGCATCAGAGAGAACACAAAAAGAGCTTATCACAGATAACGAGCTGTTAGCAATGGGTCTGGGATACAAGAACCTCCTCCCTCCCTTCCCTTTTTCCCATCTACATGCATTTATTTTGCAATTTTAAAAAATCTCTCTCAAAGAGAAAGTCAGGCAGGTCCAGTCACCGCAGCCATTTTACTGTTATCATATTAAAGAAGATGTAACCGACTGCAGAGTGTTCCTGTACCTTTGAAAGGACTGAATGGATATTGTGGGAAACTTGCTGAATAATTCATAGAATTTCAGCAGTAAAATCATTGGCAATTCAAACACATCCTTCACAGTTTCTTGTGCATGTCATTAAAAACATTCTTTTAACCTGCAAACATTTTAGTTTCTCAAAGTCAGTCTTAAATTCTGAACTGTGACAGTCTAAGTTTAAACATTAAAATCTGTAGTACTACATGAAGTCCTTAACCAGTCTGCTTTATTCCTCTGATGGTCCCCAGATACGAGAACCTGCTCTGTAACACAGCTGAAACTCATGGGAAACCTGCCACACTGGAGCTGTGTGCTTTTATTTTCCAAGAGAATTTTCACAGAGCTACCATCACATTCCCAATATGTTCCATACAAATCTGCATGCTACAACTGTACTTTTTAAAACCATAATTCAAAAATTTAATAAAATTATGTAACCGCAGCCCAAATGAAAAAGTTAATCTTATTTGTAACATCGATCATTCCAATGAAAACTATCCAAATACATCATTCCAAGTGGAAAAGGAAAACTGAGAGGAAGAATTTTCAGAGAACTAATATTTAGCTGATTACTCCAAAACTTATTTTTCATCCATTCTTTTCCAGTCTTACAGGGGACACTTAGATGTGAGACCACTGATTCACTTGCTAAAATGACTCACATGGAACATCTATCAGTTAGAATAGTTTTCAATGAGTTTTAAAAGGACAAGAAGAAAAAATAATTGGTAATCTGAATCTTAAAAAGATAAGGAGGCAGTAAGGAAAAAGAGTAAGGTCTAAGATAGTCACAGACATATTTAACTAAATATACTGATCTCCAGTTTCTAAACTGAATGCAATTTCCTTCCTCAATTTCCTCCAAAATTAAATGTCAAACTAGAGAATGAGTGGCTAGGTTTTAAGGTAGAGACACTTGACTTCGACTACACATGCAAAATTTTCTTTGAAGTTAAACTACAAATTCTATGTCATATTTTGATTTTTTTAAAAATAAAACATGAGCCGGGGATTTAGCTCAGTGGTTTTGCTGCCTGCCTCACAAGCACAAGGACCTGAGTTCAATCCCAGGTACCAATAAACAAACAAACAAAAAAACATGAATATACTGGCTCAGTAGGAGATTATCATTTTTACAAATAGATTTAAAACCAAAGTAAGTAAGTACAGTGAGTATAAGAAAAGACGCTAAACATCATAATCAGTAGGAAATTGCAAATCAAAACTACAAGACACCACCTAAAACCCATTAAGGTGATCACTACCAAAAACCAGAAAATCATAGTTTTGGATGAGGATATGGAGAAACTGGAACCCTGTGTACAGAATGTGGTAGAAATGTAAAACGTTAAAGTCAGTATGGAAAAAAGACTGAGGAAGTTCCTTAAAAAATTAAAAATATCATCACCATATGACCTACAAATTCTTCTTCTGGATATATATGAAAAACAACTGCAAGCAAGGTCCCAAAAGGAATACATCATTAACCATGCTAATACCATAGAAGAATTATTCACAATACTTTAAACCCTGGAAGCAATCCAGATGGCCACAATGGACAGATGAATAATACAGTAGTCTATACATACAGTGGATATCACTCAGCTTTACAAGGAAGGAAATGTGCCACATACTACAACTATGCTATGCAAAACAGGTCAAAATAGGACAAATACCGTGTGTGTGTGTGTGTGTGTGTGTTTACAAGAGGCACCTAAGAGCAGTCAAGTTCACAGGCACACACACCTGTAATTCCAGCACTCCGGGAGGCTGAGGAGATCACAAGTTCAAGCCCAGCCTGGCAACTTAGTAACTGACCAAGACCCTGTCTCAAAATAAAAAATTTTAAAAGGGCTGGGGCTGTAGCTCAGTGTGAAGGCCCTGGATTCAATCTTCAGGTTCCTAAGAGTAATCAAATCACAGAGCCACAAGATAGAACGAAGTTACCCGGGCTCCAGGAAGATACTGTTTCAAGGACACAGAATTTCATTTTCACAAGATAAAAAGGTCACAAGGTGGGGTTTGGTGCTATCGTACAACATGGATGTATTTAATGCAACTGAGCTGTACAATGAAAAATGGTTGGGATAGTTAATATTTACTTGTATTTTAACACAATTTAAAATGCTGGTTTTAAAAAAGGCAACTACATTTGGAAAGAAGACAGAAAACCTGGGCCACAGCACACCCCATTTTCGCTGTGTGAACACCACGGAGCAAGGTACCTGAATAAATGAAGTGCAGGATGGCGGACAGGCAAGAGCAGAAGACTGCGTCCTTGACGACCACGCGCAGCGGCGGGTTGCCGGGGGAGGCCCGGCAGGCGCCTGGCGAGGCAGCCGGATCCCGGTTTACTGCAAAGAGGTCCTGGCTGGTCCGGATGATGCTGGGGTCCTGAATGTCAGTGGGACTCTTCACATTGAAAAGCAGCATGAAAACATGGCTTACGGCGCAGAGCACGATCTTGTGGGCCTCTGCGACTTCCTGCAAGTCTGGGTGGTAGAACACCACGTCCACGCACTGGCAGCAGAACAGCAAGTTATTTAGGTCAGAGTTATAATGCGAGGCTTCAGCCTTTAACACAGGCATCTTTTCTGTTTCAAAAAAGAAAATTTCCCGAAAGAGTTAAAGACATCATATCGCAATGATCCATACACATCCATGTTTATAACAATACAACTCAATAGCTAAATTTTGGCAGTGGCCTGTATGCCCACCAACAGATGAATAGATAAAGAAAATGTGGTACTCATGCACGATGGAATATTACTTAGCCATGAAAAGGACGAATTTCAGTCATCTGTAGGAAAATGAATGCATCTTGAGACCATAATGTTAAGTGAAATAAATCAGACTCACAAGCTTAAATATCACATGATTTCTCTTATATGAGAAACCTAAAGCATAAATAAAGAGCAAAATAAGAAAACAGGAAACAGGGAGATAGAATTTTTCAAATGAGAAAGGGATGAAGAGGAAAGGAAGGGAGGGGAAGTAGATTAAAAGAATTAAGGTGTGTTATGTACATGTACCAACTCCTCACCAGGTGTGTACACATTATGCACAGCAAACATGTGCTATACAAATTAAAATTTAAATAAAATTAATAAATTACTTCTGAGGTCTATAGGCCCAATAATTTCAGATTTACTTTACAGTAGAATATTATTACATAATATTAGGTTGAGCCATAAGAAAGGGCCAGATTGGCCATTTTTCACCTACAGAACCAACAGTTTCAGTTGGTTCTTAGCCCACACATGCAAACTAATTTTTCAGGGATTGTACAACACAGACACACACACAAATACTTATACTTTGTAGTGCAAATGAAAAAACTACTAATGACATAAAGAGCAATAAAATAATAAGATAACATTTCTCATCATCTGTGCGCTCCAGAATAAAATACTGTTCCAAATGCTGAACTTTAATATTTTGTAGTCATCACTGTTTACTTCTTCGAGATAAAACATGCACACAAAGGACTGAGTAAGCGCTGAGAGCCCAGCCTTTCCCTCCTGGACAGGCAGAGAAGGCCTGAGCCACTCAAATCCTACAACTTCTCCACACCAGACCTCGAGTCTCAGAAGGGAAGGGCCACTGGCAGGATAAGCAACTGCCTAAGTGACTGCAATTCCAACTTCTCTAGCAAAACTGAAAATCCTTTCTTCTAAAGCAAAGCCCAGGCTATGCACAGACAACCAAGGGCTTTGGGCTCCCTGCACTGCAACCCATCCATCCTCTCCTCTCCTGCCTGCGGGACCTTCACAGGGCCTCGAATGCTAAGAAACATCTGAGAACTGCACACCACGGAGCCCAGGTGGTGTCCTGGAAATAGTCAGTGCAGAGCTCCACCCAGACCATGTCATCCCGGGTCCTGGGTTATGCTTAGAGCTATGCCCAAGGCTCTCCTCACTAAAGGGAAGAAGAAACAGTCCTGTCAGCCACGTGAGGCAGCGCATACTTGTAATGCCAGCACTCTGGGAGGCTGAGGCAGGAGGATCACAAGTTGTTAAATTCAGCCTGGGCAATTTGGGGATTTAGCAGACCCTGTCTTGAAATAAAAATAAAAAGGGCTGGGGATGTAGCTCAGAATGAAGGCCCTAGGTTTAGTCTGTAGTACTGCCAAGCCGGGCATGCTGGCATACACCTGTACCCTCCAGCACTGAGAGGCCAAGACAGGAAGATCACAAGCTTGAGTCCTGGCTAGATAACTTAATAAGAACTTGTATCCAAATAAATAATCATAAAGGGCTGGGTATAAACTGTGGCGGAGAGCCCCTGGGCTCAATCTGCACTACAAGAAGAAAGGAGAAAAAGGAGGGGGAGGAGGAGAAGGACAGAAATTACTCAGGGAGGAGGAGAAGGAAGGGGGAGGGGGAAAGAAAAAACCAGCCCTGAGAACACACAGGCAGCACTTGCTGCGACGAACCCTGGGGACCCTGTCCACACTGCACCGAGAGCCTGGCAGGGACACAGGGCAGCTTTCCCTAGAGCCAAAGGACACGGGACGTTCCACTTTCCCTGAGGAACTGGTGTGTTTTCTCCCCCAGATCAGTAAGAACTAGATAGCTACATTACTTATGTGGGAATTTCTCTCCCATCTTCCAACCCAGAAATTAGTTACCACCCCAGGGTTTGTTGTAATGGACCCTGGCTCCCCTTGCATTTTGCAAACCACAAAGTTCAAATCCTATATATTTGATGTTTTAAAAAAATCTGAAAATGATCTCCCACTCTAATTTATATTTTCCTGGTTTTTTATTTATATTCATGCATTCAACAAATACTTATCACATCCCTACTTTTTAAGTATTTCCTCTTAATTGACATGTAAGAATCGCATGTATTTATGTAGTACAGTGTGATTAGCCAATACATGTATCCAACGTATAACAATCAAACAAGGAGCTAGCATTTTTCATCTAATTTCTTCATATTTGGGGCCTTCAAACTACTCTTTCAGTTCTCCATAAAACACATAATATGTTGTAAATCATCGTCATCACACTGTACTACCAAGTGCTTACTTTTTCTTGTGGTGCTGGGGCTCGAGCCCAGGGCCTCCCACGTGCTGCACAAGAGCTCCACCCCGGACCTACACCCAGCAGCACTTTCTAAACTTGTGTTTTCAGACAGGGTCTCCCTAAGTCGCTCAGGCTCACTTCGTGCCTCAACCTCCTGAGCTGCTTTCGGGGGGAGTGGGGAGCACAGTCTCACTGTGTCGCCCAAGCTGGACGCAAACTCGCTGACAATGTCGAGGGAGTGGAGGCGGCATTCTCACATCTGACAAAGTTGTTCTAAGACCTGTGAGGAGCGAATCTTAATAAACACCTACCAAATGTCTACACACCTGGTTGTTCAAGCTGGGGTGGTCTAATTCCATGAAACGAGGTGCTCATTTTCCTTTTCTTCATTTTCTCACTTGTCTTCTGATTTAAGGCTTGAATCATAAAGTATTCCAACTAAAACATGAACCAAATCTACATCAGAGCTCCAACAAACTTACATCTCTAATATGATTATTTGTACCTCAAACCATCTTTGCCAATTGATTTTTGCTTAATGTAATGCAGAGGACTGAACCCAGGGCCTCTGCACTGAACTAAATTCCAGCCCTTTTAAAAATTTTAAATTTTGAGACAGGGTCTTGCCAAGTTGCCCAGACTGGGTTTGAACTTATGATTCTCCTGCCTCAGCTTCCCAGAGCGCTGGGATTAAAGGTATGCACCACCACACACAACTTTCCAATTATTTTAAATGTCAGCACCATGCATTAATAAACACTTGTAAATAATTTTTAACCTTAAAAATGTGCGTAAGGGGAACAGGTTGTACCATCTCTATAGACATAAATACATCTACCTAATCAAGAAGGAATCATTTTCTTGAATAATCAAGAAGCCACACATTACAACTGTGTGGCTATTAATAATTTTCTCAGTGGGCAACAATGCAGTTAATGCTAGTGAAATTCAAGGCAGAAACGGATCTGGCCTTACGTCTATGGATGTTCCTATAAGCTAGGAAACTTACTTCGTTCTCTTGAACAAATGTCTTTGAAACCTGCCCTTTACAAATTAACAGTCTTGTCCGCATGCTCTAGTCCTGTGACCTCCCTGCAAGGCCTGTGGTAAAAACACAAATGGAAGTCCACCCACATAACTAGATATTTAAATGCTGTAAAGCAAGAAAGAAAACTGGCATGTAAAAGATATCCTATGCTCTTGTTTTGACAGATACATCCACACGAAGGCCTGCCTGGATAATAGGATTGGGATTCAAATTGTCAGACCCCTGGGAGGCTCCTGCAGCACAAGAGAGGAAGTCCCTAACTCCTGGACCAAAGACAACCTCTCCTTTTCTCAGTTCTGCCCCACCCCATTCCCCCAGGAGTTCTGTGTCCCCAGGTGGCCCTGCACTCTCCAGCCACTCTCCCCTGCCCAAGCCCTGTAAAGAGTCAGCCCTCAGCCCTTTTCAGGCCTCAGCTTATACGCACCAGCAATGCAGTCCACCATCAGGAGGACAAAGCTGGGAAAGAGGCCTCCATGAGTCCAGGACACAGACTCTGGGCCAGATAATTCTGGGCTCTGGTGTTCAGGAGTAGAGTCATTGCACTGTCCAACAGAGATTTCTGAGATGGAAAAGTTGTGTAATCTCTGCACTATCCAGTAAAACAACTACCTCCTCTACACATGGCTACAGAGCATCAGAAATGTGGCTAGAATGCCTGAGGGACTGAATTGTATTATTATTTTTAAATTTCTGTCAGTGCATTTAAATGTAAACAGGCACATGTAGTGGCTACCGTCAGGGTTGGTGCAGGTCTCCAAGGAAGCCCTCTCAGCTGCGGGTGGGTGCATACCTTGGCTCCACCGATGTGTGCCCTATGGAGAGGGATGCAGGCAACAGAGGCCAGACGGGGCTCCCTGAAGCTCCCAGATAGGCACCCCTCCTGCCCAGGTGTGAAAGGAGCACTGCACAGCTCTGTAACTGAGCGAGCCAACCTTTGCTCCCACATCCTACACGAAGCTCTTTATATGAGTGGTTATTCTGAGTATGTCTGAACCCCAACGAGATTGGGATGTGAAATCTTGTCAAAGCATGGACAGAGGGAGAAAAACCTAGAATCTTCTGATCCGTAGTCAGACGCATTATCCATTGCGCCACTGGCCCATGCCCATAAAAACGATTACTTTCAAATAGTAGATGTAAATAAAAGAGAAATGTTAGGGCCCATGGATTCAGGCTGCCAGGTTAACTGAGCTGTATGGATATTATTACAGTCCTGTGACGTCACAGGTTTGTGGAGGAAAATATACACAATATAGACCGATGTAGTACCACCAAGACATCCCAAAATATCCAAATATTCTACAAAATGCAAGACAATAGGAAATGTTTCTATTTGGAGAGAAAATGTATAATTTTACCCTGGTAAAATCTTTGCTACTTACTGCTACTTACGCTCATCTTATTTCCCTAGATCAGTGATGGTGAACATTTTATAGAGCCTACAATGAGAACAAAGAGCCCATCACTGCTCCAGGTTGAAACTAATTATGCTTTTGAAACTAAAGTTCTAACTGATGTTCTAGAAAACTAAAGAGCTAAAGAGCTAGCCTCGCAAACAACTTTATGTGCAACAGAAATTTCCACTCACCACACCACCGAAGTATTTTCCTATATAGAAGTCATCCAGGCTGTGTAGTTCGAGATAGGTCGCCCCTAATTCTTTAGCCAGCTGGATTCCTTCCGTTGTACTGACACAGCTCCCCCGGTCAGATGTACACAGAGGGCAGGTACAAGGTAATTCTTCTGAGAAAATGAATTAGAAAAGAAAGAGCCTTGAAATTGAACTAGAAAAAAATACGCACAGAAAACAGGATCACTGAACAGCACATTAAGTGACCAAACTAGAACCACTGTGTGACCAGAGTGTCAATGATAACAGAAGGTCCCTAAGTAAATGAGCATTCATTGCAAGGAAAATAAAGAGCATTTTAGAAAACAGAAGAATTTAAACCGGGCGTGGTGGCACGTGCCTGTAATCCCAGAGCTCGGGTGGCCGAGGAAAGAGGATGGCTGAGAGTTTGAGGCCAGCCCGGGCTACAGAGTGAGTTCAAGACCAGCCTGAACTATGTAACAAAATGCTATCTCAGAGAGGGAGAAAGGGAGAGAGGGAGAGAGGAAGAAGGGAGAGATAGAGGGAGAGGGAAAGGGAAAAGGAGAGGGGGAGGAGAGAGGAAAGAGGGAAGAGGAGGAGGAGGAGGAGGAGGAGGAGCGGTGGAGGTGGTGGTGGTGGTGTTTACTAATAGGTAAATGGATATTACCAAACTGGCACCGCAATTAGACTAACTTGCAGTAAGGTTAGACCTGTTGCTTCTTATACAATCTTGACATCTTAAACATCATTTCTCAACTGGTGAAAAAGAATTTAAATTTAGTAATTTTATGGCCCATAGAAACTATGAAAGACTGTGGGCTGGATTTTTTGGTAATAGATCTTATGTATATAAATATATTCACCAAGTTTGAATCAACTGTATATTCTTGTTAACAGAACCCTCAGCTGGACATGATTGATATTCAAGGTTGCAAACTGCCATTCTCTTTGTAAATTTTATATTAAATACATTCTTATTAATTTGGACACTCCAATCATCTGACTACGAAGCACTGAACTCCAGAGGCAAAATTCAATCACTTTTTACCTATTTAAAATTAAAACATCAAAACCTAAAGGAAAAAGAAGTATATACTCGAAAAATAAATTGTCTCGAGATTCGTGGTTGCACCACATATAGATCTACAGCTGGGAACGTGCAGACAAACCTATATCCTCTAAGAATAGTCCTTATTAGCAATATATACTCAAATCCATTTTCATCAGCTCACTTTGTTTTTCTTCATGACACATCAGATGTGTCCCCCTTCAAAAGGCAGCCAAGTCAAAGGACAGGAAAGTCAATTCTAGACATGTTCGCTGCTGCAGGCTGGCTTCCTGGAATTGCGCCCTGAAACAAGGACTGGTGTGCGTGAGGGCTGAGCTGGGAAGAACTCTTCTCAGGCCTGAAGGATGTTGGTCTGGGTAGAAGGAAAACCTAAACTGCAATGTAGTTGTACCACAGCCATGGCGAACCCTACAGGGTGCCAGAGCTCAGCTGGCCAGCTGAGAGTTGCTCCTCTTCTGGTGAAAGGCAGCTAGGCCTTTGCACACTGACCAGAAATTAGTTGAGGACTGCATTGGGGGCAGCATAACCTTGGGCAAGGCCACTCCAGTGGCGAGAATAATGCCTGGAAAGGGACCAGCTGTGTGCCATCAGCCAACCAGCCTGGACTGAGGGAGGGAGTACAGTGGCCCTGAGAGGACATTTGGAGCAACTCCTCACAGATGCACAACCAACTTCCCGACTACTGACCGCATACCAATGGAATACATGCAAGGGATGAGCAAACTTTTCAAATTTGCTACAGTAAAAGACACATGACACCACTATTAATCACCCTCAAATCCACCCCCTCACTTCAAACACACTCACCCCTTCTTCTTGCCACTTTCTGAAGCAGTTCTGGAAGTCTTCTGTCATGAGTCTTTTTAAGATGTGATTAAAAATTTGGTAAGAAGGGAAAAGAAAAAAAAAATGGAAACAAAGCCTCTGTAAATAGGGAAGGGTGAGTGTGGAGGGGGTGAAGGGAGGGCAGGGGAAAAAAATTTGGTGAATGCCGCTGCCGAGTGTTACCCAACAGAAAGGCGGGCTCACAGAAACGTTACGTATGTTCTCGTCCACTTTATTCACTGGACGTGGCACCAGGCGACTTCTGGCTCTTCCCAAAGTCAAAACGACCATGGACATTTTCAATCAACTGAAGAAACTCAAGGCAGCCAGGACAGCACAACTAGAGATAATCCCGGAAGAGGATTGGAGAACAGCCTCAAAAGTGGCAAGAAGGAAGTGATAAGGGTACTGAGGAGGAGAGCATTCTGAGGGAGAGTAATGGCGATGTGTCTTTCAATAACAATTTTTTGAAAATTTAACACTTGTGGGATTTATCACACCACATAGGTCTACATGTGGGGTGTATACCTAGGATGTTCAGGGTGCTGCGTGCTGTGTATCTTGGTGCAGTAAGTGTACACGTGCACGTGTGATTTAGATAATTTTACCACCGCAAAGTATTTTCAAACTCAAAACCCATGTACGTACAGCCTCACTTTAGAGAGAACTGTGGCTCTGGGAAGTTATGTGACTTGTTCCAGTCTCTTTGTGAGTTAGAGATAGAGAAATAATAAATTGTTATTTGCTTCACCTGATCAATTAAAGTGACACTGGAAGATAGGATAGATGAGGCATGGAGGTCCAGGCCCCAAGTCCCAATTACTTGAGAGACTAAGGCAGGACAATCCCAAGTTCTAGGCCAGTCTAGACTACTTAGCAAGGCTCAGTCTCAAAAAAAACAAAAACAAAACAAAACAAAAATTTTAAAGTGGGACAGGGTTTGCTGAATAAGATGTAGCTCAGTGTACTCTGGGTTCAATCCCCAGTACTGGGAGAGAGAGAGGAAAAAAAATAGAGTAAAATTTAGTCTGAGAAAAGAATTCTTGGTTCCGAAGATCCAGTGATGGTGAAAATTAAGTATGGGTTCTTCATACCACACACTGTAATCTGAGTTTTTGCTCTTATTTTTCACAAATCATTTTATGATTGGAGAAAGGTTTTCATGAAGAATTCAGTCTGTCTTAATAAATAACATATTGGCATTTTGCATTTGTACAAAGCCTTCATAAATAATGCCTCTGCTTTTCTGCAAACAGAGGCCTTCTCTTTTCTACAAAAGTCTCCTTGTTTGTGGAATGGGGTGGGCAGGCAGATCATCTTGTTAAACTTTATTTCTGGATAAAAATCAAATGAAAAATGAAGTAAACACAATATAAAACAATGTCACAATCAATCTTAAAGGGGAAAATATAACTAATTTTAGGTTTAAATCAGGTGAGAGGGCCTCCACCATTCGTAGTCAAACAGTCTCCTGACACACAACCTCCTTATGCCCAGTCCTTTCTTCTGCTTCACTCACCAAAAAGGAAAATGCCTAATCACCATACGAGGTTACTTAGTTACCACTTGCCTACCAACCTTTTATCTGTATTTTTAAAAATTAAATCTATTTTGGTCATGCTGGGGATTCAACCCAGGGCCTCACACATGCTGAGCAAGCGCTCCGCCACTAAACTATACCCGCAGCCCTAAAATATTATTTTTCAAACCTTCACAGGCTATTTTCCTAGTTATTTGTTATTTATGTGATTATCTTGTAAACCACTCCTATATTCTTTCACATCAATCAGCTATTAATCTAAAATTCTAAATGAAAGGCTGACGAGTTATTACGGCAGGAGAACCAACAAAACATTCTAGATTAAACAAATTTATATTGCGCATTTTATGAACAACAATCAGAAGACCCAAAATAATTTCAAATTGTGACATTTTATGGTCCTTGTAGCTCTAGGAATCAGTGTTACACTTCTAGCAAATCTTATACTCATTTTGTTATGTGTTGTCTTTTTTTTTTTATCTTTATTACCCGCAAGACAGATTCTCACCCTGTAGTCAGCCTGGTGTTGAATTCGTTTTGTAGCCCAGGCTGGCCTAAAATTTGCAGCAATCCTCCTGCTTCAGCCTCCCAAGTACTGGATTCACAGGTGTGCACCACCATGCCTGGATTCATGTTATCTTTTAAGATGTACCATAATAAAGTATCTTTTCTTTAATGCAAACACAAATGAATGCTATCTTTTAAAGTAGTATGAAAAAAAAAAAGTAGTATGGCTTTAGGAATCTGTAGGATGATTCTTAAAATGTTGCCACTGCTTGAAATTTTTAGAAATTCCTCTCAAAAATTCTAACCCGGCAAAGTACCAGGCTTTATTAGAACTACAAATGTAACTGAAAGATGAATACCCATCTTCAGCCAGATGTGGTGGTGCACGTCTATAATCCCAGCACTCAGGAGGCTGAGGCAGGAGGATTACCATGAGTTTGAGGCCAGCTTGGGCTCCGCTGACTGTAAGCCTAGCCTGAACTGCATAGTGAGCCCATCTCAAAAAATAAAATGAAATTAAAAATTAAAAAAAAATTTTTAAAAAGAAAAAAAACAAAAGGTGGCTATGAATACCTTTTAGGCACATTCTGAGGAGGGGGTAACCTCTTTTAAAGAGAGATTTAATATTTAGTAAAAGCCAAAAAATTATTCACAGCCAAGTAGAATGAAAATATCTACACAGTCAAACTTGTCAAAAAATACGTAATAAAAGAGATGAGACTGATTGTATTTCCTGGACAAGTTCTAAAAAGAGTTTCAAGAGAATTACCAGGAGTCACCAAGCACGGTTTCACGTTATCACTAGGTTTAGGGATGAGGCTGGCAATAAACATTCTTGAGCTGAACAGCGAGATTTCTCTCTGTAATTATTTTGTAATCATATCTTATACAGTAAATTAATTTTATCTTGGTAGTAAAATTGATTTTTTTCACTTAGATTATTCATAAAACTATTCATTCACTTATTGAACAAATGTTAACTGAACATCTACCATGCACTCAGCACTAGAGACATATAGACAGAAATACTAAAAAGAAAAACTCATAGTCAACTAAGCCAAGATAATCATAATTTCAACATAATATAATCAGTGCTAAAATAAAGGTACACAGCATTAACGTGTATTAGTCAAGTTTCCCATTGCTGGGACATAATATACAATATGCACTACATAAAAAAGGAAAGGTTAGATCTAGCTCACAGTTTCCGG